GCAACTAACCTAATTTAAGCACGATTTGCAAGTGAAGTTACTAGCAAAACCCGAATAGTTATTTAAAAATCATGTAGCTTGCCAATCGGGAGTAACATGAAAGATAAGGCGTCAATAATTGAATTGCTGGTTACGGTACGCTGTTGTTTCTAAACTTAGATGGTCATTCCTTAATTAAATATAACTGATTTGTAACTTCTACTAAAGCTGACGGTAAGAAATGAAGTGTAAATAAATAGTATCATGTGCAATCTTGATTAATATAAATTAGAAATATTTGCATAGAAAAATATTTGCATTCGGACAAAGTGTGTGTGATTATGGCAAAGCCTCGAGGGCTATCTGTCTAAGGGGAGGGATGCCTTCATGGAGGACTTTCTAAGGAAAACTGGCTCGTATACACGTTACACATGGGGAAAACCACGAAAACGCTCTTGCAGCCAGCCCGTTCGCGAGATTCGAATCTCGGACCAAACTACCAGTGTTCAGCGACTTTACCGCTCGGCCACTGGTGAGCCCCATTCAGACAAAGTTTTTTGAAATATTTGCAATTACTTTATAAGAAGGATTTATTAATAACCGTAATAATTACTTATTATATTACTGATGATTAGGATTCAGTTCTTGACAATTACATTCTAAATTAGAATTTTAAGGATATAATGAAAATACGCTACGCACAAAAATACATTTTAGGAATAAAAATGAGTTGATTTTTTATGTTTAAAAACTTCTTAAATTCATTTAATAAACATCGTATCCTCGTTGTTAATTGAATCCAGAATGTTGGGTGTCGTTTATATAATTATTCTTACTTGTCCACAGAACCTGCTGACTTATCCAGCCATTAAGTAGCTGCAGATCATTTCTACATAACCATTGAACTTCCATTAATTCGGTCTCTAGAGGGTTGTATGTTTATATCATAATTTGACTTTTATAAAAATGATTATTCTAAATCTTATGTTTTCTATAAAAATATACTGTGCTTTAAAAATATGGATGATAGTATCAGCCGCTCTTTCAGCCACTTCATAAGCAACAGTTTGTTTAGAAATAAATTATGCAGTTAATGTCATAAAATATTTTCATAAAATTCAAATAAACATCAAACGAAAAGTTCTCAGTTTTAGACAATTCGATTTAAACAAAGTTAAAGTAAAGTAGCAGACGATAAAACGCCGAAGGTAAAAATTTACTCTTATTTTTTTTAAAAAAAGGAAGAAAGAGAGAAATTTTAAAAAAAAAAAAGTTAAAAATTTGAATAATATCATCTATAATTTAAAAAAATAGCTTTTCATATAGTATTAATAAATATTTATTACGCATCATTGAGGGAAAAAATTCATATAATTAATTCTTCGTAAAATTTTATTTGAAATTTAAGGTTAAAAATAGCTGTGGCAATTCACTGTAACAAAAATCCATAAGCCACATTTGGCGTTATTATCGCTCCAAAAAAAGATGCCAAATTTCAAAACGCAAAAATATGTAAATTCGTGTATATCTTAGAAAATTTTGAATAAAAAAGTCTAATTTTTTAATTAATTAATTTAATTTCAAAGTAGGTGTATTTTAGAAATACACCTACTTTTTAAGATGATAAAAATTTTATAGGTTATAATTCAAAATTTTTTCGAAAAATTTATAAAAAATTATTTAAAAATAGAAATTTAAAAAATAAACACAAAAAATGACTAAATTTTATTTGGAATGAACCTTAATTTTGAAATGTGAAAGGAAAAATCAAAAAGGTTTAATAGAAAAAGAGATATTAATAAATATTTGCCAAATTCGATTAACATTAAGGAGCTAAAATTTTGAGAGCTAATATTTTAAAAACTACTCGTATGATTTTTACAAAACTTGGTATTGTGTTAGATAAGTGCTATATATAAATCTAATATATATCTTAAGTCGCGCTTTCGAGACGTGAAAAACGCAGTTTGAATTTTGTCAATCGGCCCAGTAGCACTGTCCCTTTTTTTTTTTTTTTTTTTTTTTTTTAGCAGTGTACATTAATTTTTTCAGACACTGACATTTTCTGTCCAAATGCTGACCTATATCAGCTTGCAGAATGGTCGCATTTGCTCCAGTGTTTACTAAAGAGGAGGAGGTCTACCAAGGAGATCCATTTATTTCTTCATCAACACAGAGTTCATGATGTGATGATATTTATAAAGCAGCTGCATTTACTGTTTTCAATAACTTCTGCTTCTTCATAATATTTTAAATAAGTTATTAACGCACAGGGCATTGCCTTTGTAAATGTCTCTCACCCAACACTTTATTCCATTATTATGGCTCCTTTGAAGTCTTTTCAGCTAGATGCACACAACATTGCTTCCATAAATGTTAGCCTCCTTTATTAAAATTCTAGCATTTCACTTTATTATTATTATTATTTCATTTTGTCTTGCATGTTTCTGTTGTCTTCAGACTTATCCTCTGTCACCATTTTTGGCACTGTGTCCATCAAACTGTTGACACCCTGTATAAAGTGATTTTTTTTTTTTTTTACTGTCATTCTGTACAGTCTATGCTTTTATGGCATGCATTCGAGTATTCTTAAAATCCTTATTATCAATTATCTGGAAAGCTTGTTGCTTATCGGGATCCCTAATAGCATCCACAAAATACTCCGTGTGTCTTTAATTTCTAGTCTGAAAATGCTAGTTGTGTTAAATTTTCAGTTTCAGTAACCGGTTCTTGAAAGATCTTCGCTGCCTTCTGTTGTTGCATTTCGAGCTATGGTTGGTATAAATCCTTGATAAATGTTTCTCCAAATCGTAGATCTAAGACATTAATTACGGCATCCATTTTTTGACATGTTTCGTTTGGAATCATTTGTAAGATGACAGCACCATCTATTATGGATGCAGCCATATTTAAGGCTTTCGTGATAGGATCCCTTTGATTTGCTATGAAATTTTTTGAATCTGTGTTTTGTGTATGCTCCTTGATAACATTCCATCGTGTGGTGCCAGTTTAATTGCAAAACGAGATGGGCGAACTGGGATGCTGTTCAAAGCAGGCTGAGCTGGAACATTGTTTACAGTTGAGGCCAGTTCTAAAAATTTTAATTCTCATCTTAAAATTCCCTTCAAGACTCTCATTTGCAGAAATTTCATGATTTGATATAGACAATTTTGTGATTTTCAGTCTTTATCTCATCATTTTTTTCTTCCTGTAGCAGCTATGTTCTCAGTCATTGTATTCAAGTTTTCCTTTCAACCGCGGCAATGTTCTCTTTCATCTTAATGGCGTTTGCTGCTTTCTCTTTCCTCATCTCAGTGACATTTGTTTTGATGGAGCTCTTTATCTCAGTGGCTTCTGTGGCTGCTGCATCTTTCTTCATCGCAGCAACATTAGTGATTGCCTCTTTTCTGCTAGCAGCAATCATTTTCATAACTTTTAATTAAACTTTCTTGATGAAATTTCTCTTAACACCTCGAATAATAGAAAGAAATTAGCATTTTATTATAAAGTTAGAAATAGCCTAAGCCAAATGCAGATATAAACAATTTTTCTTTAAGGTTCAAGAAATATCAGCTGTTGCCAAAATCATTTGTAAAACAAACTCAATTCAGCCAAATCTCTGTTGAATAACAACTAAAACAGCAGCAACAACAACTCTTAGTCATATTTGTATAAGACACAGGCATCCACAAAATTCAAGAAAGATTTGTTGCTTGAAGACCGTACCTTGCATTTCACTTAAGCTATTTTTATATTCTCAACACTGTCATTCCCAAATCAGCAATTCCATATTAGAAACAAATACATATAAAAAAGTAAATAAATGAGTGCAATTCACAAATACAAAACTAATAAATAAATAGTTGAATAATGTGGTGAAAAGAATTAAAATTTTTACAGATATGTGCACTTAACATATAGCTATCACAGTATATTTGTATTGTTGCATACATACGGGTTCAAGAAGGTTCAAGCATGGAATACAAACAGAACTGATGATAGCTTAGCAAAATTTATTTTCACAAAATAAAAAGTTTTTGAACTTTTCACAAAAGTATTCTTACAGCTCTTCGTAGTATTACATATTTATGTATTCTTAGTATTACATGTTTTAAGCTACTTAGAAAGTTAAACACAATGCAATGCAAAGCGCTTCTAAAGAGCGAATCTCGCACAGAGGTTTAACTCTGAAGCTCTCTCTAGTTTTGTATAGTTTTTCCCTGACTATTGAGGAATTTCCAGCACTTTCCATTTCTCTAAATTACTGGAAGGCATATATGGTTAAAGTTACATATAAGAGACAGATATGGTTGCTGTTACATATAGGGATCGGTAACAGTTATACAGGGACCAGACCCCAAATTTTTTTTAAATCTAATGGTGGGCACTTGCCTATTTGACATTGGCTGCTCCTAAGGAGAGAAGTGGTGGTCATTATATTGTGGAGGCACCTAATAGCTGCCACTGTTTGCTTTCTATAAAGCGACAGACAATTACAACCATACCTTCTCCAGGATTCCAACCTGGGCCCTTCGGTATTTCAATCAGTTTCCCTAAGCAATGTAGCATCTGAGTGGCTGGATGAAAATGTTCGCCAAGTTTGACGATTTCTCGCCAAATTTGGAGACAAACGTTACTCTCCAAAACCATCGCCATCTTGGCGATATCTCACCTACCTAATGAGACAGCTATTTGCCTCAGTGTTAACCTTATTTTTCCAGCAGAGCTTCACTTTTTTTCAGGCTTTTAATGTTATATAAAAGGTACTAGAATTTCATAGTAATTTCACTAAAATTATTTACATATATACGAAATTCATAATATTTTATAAGTTCAGATTCTTTTTATAATTTTTTAAAAATATTTTTGTGAAATTTTCTTGAAGTCCAATGTTTAATGGGATTAATGCTTTTTATCATTCTAATGAAATAAATGATTCTAGTATTTTGATTTTTTGAAATTTTTTCCTCATGACAATCTTCCAGTCCTTTAAAAATGAACCTGCGAAATTTCATTAACAGAACATGCAATTGAAGATTTAGAAGGCTATGAAGATGAATGGGAAAAGAAGTATGGGAATTATTCTGATATGGAATCAAAAATGATAGATTGTATTCCAAGTTTCATTAAAGAAAATTATTTTTATTTACTGGAGGATGAAACTTCTCATCAGTGTGGAAAACGTTTTACTGGTTTAGATACTGAAGATGACTTTCTGAATATTGCATATATTGAAGATTCTCCAACAGAAACAGGATCAACAAATGAATGTAAGAGTCTTATTATATTTGCAAAAAAAATATGAATAATAAATAAAATATTGGTTTGAAATCTGTTAGCTAATGTTGTGCCAATATAGTTTAATGATTGAATTAATGAAAAATAACATTTAATGATGCATTTTAAATTTGGACACCTTTTTAAAACCTTAGAGTTTCTTGTTCTTTTCTTATGCAGGTGAAGATATAAGTACTGTTATTAGTCACCTTGACAAAATGAGAAGTGAATTGAAAACAACTTATGAGGAGCAAATAAAACCACTGCTTGAAGCTGAACAAGGTATTAGCATGAACAAGTGTTTTTAGATTTTATCTTGTAGATATCTTTTTCAAGAGTTATGTCTTATGTATGTAAGTACTTATAAATAGGCATTAAGATGTTAAGTTTTATTTTTAAAATTTATTAATTAATTATTATTTTTTAAGTTGCTTCTAGGAGAGAATTATCAGATAAAGCTATAGAAGCAGATATTTTGAAATTACCAGCTGAAGATAAAGCAGTTGAAATTGATGAAAAAATGACGGAAAAATTAACTTCATCAAGAAGCATTCAAGTAAATTTGACGAATGGTGGTGTCATGGCTTTTAAACGAAGGTAATTAGAGATGATGAATTTATAATTATGCTTTTGATGGATTTTTTAAAAGTATATTTAGCAAAATGTATATATTTCAAAGCATTCACAGTATTATCTTTATATTAATAAGTATAGTACAAAGTCCGAAATCCGGACTTGTCGAGACTTTTCCGATTCCGAATTTGGGATTTTTCCGGATATTAGATCATCAGTTTAAAATCTAGTAAGATGGCATGTAGAAATTATAAAATTAAAAATATGAAATAATGAAGTATTTATGATCTAAAGGATATCAAAACTTACCAAACAAAAAAAAAAAAAAAAAAAAAAAAAAAAAAAAAAAAAAAGCTTAATATTTATTTGTTTACCTTATTAAACTTTTCTTTCAATGTAAGTTGTTTAAGTTGCTTCGTGTTTTGTGCTAATACTTTCTCTTTAATTCTGTAGACAGACATAATCTCTTGTTCAGTTACATTGTTGAAGTCCGAGAATTCTGACCAACTTGTCAATCGAATTTTTTTTGGTTTTCAGTAACCTTCTCTTTCATTTTCTTCACTATCAGTAACAGTATTTTCTGGATCTAGAACCATACTACAGATTTTGTTGTTCATTAATTGATTGATGATTGAGAAGTATTGTCATCATAATGAAAAACTTCTTGTATATCATCTTCATTTATTCCCACTTCTCAACATTCACCTTTGTTTTGTGATATCTGAAAACCTTTAAAATTTGTGGCTATCATCATCAAATTTAGCTATTGTTCACTGTACATATTTGGCTATGCATCATGAGCTTGGCAAGTAATGACAAGTTCCGTTAAATTTTATCTTGCTTCTGTCGTGCACTGAGGTAATTAAGCTTGAATTGTATTAGTTTAGTTATTTATTATACTTATGTCTATTTCTTGCACATGCTTAATGCTTATCAGAGTTCTGAGTAAATAAATTCCTACATATACTTAAGCTTTATTGAGGCCCAGTGCTAGATATCTTACTGCCTGATGCAGCCTCTGTGGGTCCTAAATTCTGCAACCCGGTGCCACCTTATGACCCTGGCTCTGGTTGTGGGTTTAGTGAATAATAAATCAGTTATTCTTAATTCAAACAGTCCTAAATGTAATCTTTAGGTCTATGAGTATCATCAACAAAATCTATTTTTAACATATGGAAAGAAATTTTTTTTTGTCAACATTTTTCAGCGCATTTAACTTAAATCTGTAATCATTGCCAAGTGTAATGTCAACATAATAGGTTACCATACTCCTTTGTTATTCAATTACTAACATAAAAAAATTGTTTAGGCATCACTACATGAGTCATTTCATAAGGTGTCATGTGTTGATAAATATGCGGTGATGAAATGAAAGGAAAGGATAATAAATAATGATTCGCCAGGTTGGCGTTCAGATCAACGATGTATCTATGTGGAATATTTCAGTTTGAGATATGTGCTCAGCAGAAACACAGCAACGAAGCCAAATTACTGATCCTTCAAATTTATGCTAAAATGATTGTTTCTTCAATAACAAGGTATTTTATTTAGTGTCGAAGTGAAATTAAGAATCAGGTCTCTCCAGATGTTTTATTATGTGTGGAGGGGGGAAATCAAATGCACATGCATAAAGCCTACGAGAAAAACATTATTGGTGGTTTTGAGGTCCGGATTTTAGATCATTCCGGATAATGGACATCTGGATTTCAGACTTTGTACTGTACTAATGTATAGTTTCTGATTCATTTATAGCAAATTATGCCATGTATCATAAATCAGAGGTAGCAATTCTGGGTAGCATGATTATTCTCAAAGAAATCACTATCTTTAAAAACAGTGTTAAGCAATGTGATTTGCTAATATTCATAATATAATGATTAAAAACTCAAGAAGATTCAGAAAGACTTTTCAGACTTGGAAACATTTTTTATGTACTGGTTTCTAAAATTAGCACAAACGTGATTTTTTTACAGATACTTTCAGTAATATTTTGAGTAGCATTTCAGTCTATCAACCTAGAGATCTGTACATGAAATCAAGGTAGGTGTAGGTATAGCCTATTCTGTTTTATCTTCTGTTAAAGAAAATTAACCAGTTAAAATTTCAGGGCTTTATGAAAGGTTTTTCATCAGATATTTTCACCGATATTACAAAATTTATTATTAAATTTATTATTAAAATTCCAGAAGTCGGAGTCGGTCATTTTCCCTACCTACTCCACAGCCCTACTATTGATACGTTCATGTGCATCACTGAACATACCACTGAAAGCACTGATTTCTCTGCTGCAGCAAAATTAAAGTAATGGTTGCCTTGCAAAACAAACAAATGGCATTCGATGCATTTCTGTACCTTACATGTAGATAAATGCGCTATTCAATGTACCTAATTTCCTAAGGCAGGGTATGTGTTATCGCTGCATGATCTGTAAAAGCAATGTGTCATCTCTACTAGTGAATGAGATACATTGATACCTTGCATGTCTCTTTATGTGCCCACCTGGACTTGTTGATTGGGAATTTTTATAATAGTCACTGTATCCTGACCAGTACGAGCACCATTTGTGCTGTATCATAATCTGCATTCAGGATAGGTAATGATTCCTGCACGGTTGACTTCCGAGACATACTGATATAAGTTCCTACTTTTTATGTAAAGCATAACATAATCCTTAACATAAAAATGTCATATTGTAGCCTTGGCTACTAATGTTTAAAATTAATTTATGACTAGTAACAGCATGAATTATAAACAAATAGCTAAGTTATTGCATTTTATTTTCCAGCTATCGAAATGCGACGCTACGAGCAACATTTTGAAACCAAAACCTAGCAATCATGAATCAGAACTAGAACTAGTTGCCATTCAGCATAAAGAAATTTAAATATAAATATGAACTACTTATTGGCATTCAGCATAAAAGAAATATAAATATGAATATTAACAAAAATATTAAAGTTAATTTTATAAAATAATTAAACACATGAACAAATATATGAAATAAAAAATAATTATTTCTCATGCAATAACTGGGCCACTACACTACTACGATGTAGCCTTGGCTACTAATGTTTAAAATTAATTTATGACTAGTAACAGCATGAATTATAAACAAATAGTTAAGTTATTGCATTTTATTTTCCAGCTATCGAAATGCGACGCTACGAGCAACGTTTTGAAACCAAAACCTAGCAATCAGGAATCAGAACTAGAACTAGTTGCCATTCAGCATAAAGAAATTTAAATATGAATTATAAAATTTATTATTAAAATAAAACACATACAAATATATGAAAAAAATAATTATTTCTCATGCAATAACTGGGCCACTACACTGACCCGGACGTGATAAAATGTGTAACACCATGTTTAATTTGTGTAGGAAAAAGGTTAGGTTTAGAAATTTCGGGATATTTCGACAGTAAATCGAAAATTTTTATGGATTTATTTAATGTGGTTACTGAGTAATCACTGGAAATAGCAGCGACATCACACTGGACACAAAGCTGTGTTACGCCATCAATTAATTTTTTCTTATTTATATCGACAAGCAATTTATATTTGTGAAGAAAGTCAGCTCCTAAAATACCTTTTGTGACATCAGCAATTATGAATGGAAACTGAAAATCACGACGTAATCCCAAATCAAGAGTTAGCGTTTTTATGCCATAAGTGGAAATATCTGTGCCATTAGCTGCATACAGTTTATATTCAGTTTTACATTTATTCTGTGAAGTAGCAGGAATTATGCTTACGTCAGCTCCGCTATCAATAAGAAAGTGCAAATTTGATCTTCGGTCACGAACGAATAAACGAAATTTGCGACAATCCTTCATATTTTCTGCAGCAGCGTTTGCCGCTGAACCTACTGCAGATTCGAGTTTTCCTGGTTTTTGAAATCGTTTTTTACCCAAGCACACGGAGGCTTGCATTTCTCTGGAATGACATTTTGCTCCAAAACGAAAGTGATAAAACAAAAATTTGCCAGTAGGGTCATATCGTTTACGAGATCGGCTTCGAGATCGTGAACGTGAATTACGTAAATCCGAGTCCCTGCGTCTTGAGCGAATGGTTATTTGATCAATTTTTTGTTCAAGAAAGGTAATTCTTTGCAACAAATCATTTGCGGGAACGGAAGGAGCATTAGCACTAAATACTTCTGGTTTCCGATTCATATCACTAATTTTATCTGCCATAGACGCTAACTTGGTTACATCTTCATCACTAACTAATAATATATTTTTTATGGAGTCAGGTAGCTTCTCCAGCCATAAAGTTTTGATTAGATTTTCAGACACATCTGTAGTAGCAACTGATCTCAACTTCTGCAAAAGTTGGCTTGGTTTCATGTCTCCAAGTTCGATACCAGTAATCAAACGTTTAATCCGTACATTTTCACTTTCTTTGAATAAATGTAATAACCTAATTTTAGCATCCGAATATTTTGTGGCACTATCGTTCGTTACAATGTCCCAAATATTTTCGACGAACTTAGGTTCAAGCTGTGAAACTAAATAATTAAATTTCGTTTCTTCTGAAACGATATTACTAAAGTTTGAACTGAGCTTCAACTTGAAAAAACCATATTTCCGGTTTATCAATCCAAAAAGGAGGTATTTTTACACTCACCTTATGAAGCTCCGGTGACTGCATCGTATCTTTCATAGCAGTTTCAGAAGAGTCATTTGTTGAAATTTCGAAAATTAATCAGGGTCACCACGATGTAGCCTTGGCTACTAATGTTTAAAATTAATTTATGACTAGTAACAGCATGAATTATAAAAAATAGCTAAGTTATTGCATTTTATTTTCCAGCTATCGAAATGCGACGCTACGAGCAACGTTTTGAAACCAAAACCTAGCAATCATGAATCAGAAACTAGAACTAGTTGCCATTCAGCATAAAGAAATTTAAATATAAATATGAACTACTTATTGGCATTCAGCATAAAAGAAATATAAATATGAATATTAACAAAATATTAAAGTTAATTTTATAAAATAATTAAACACATGAACAAATA